TATAGATATATATATATATCATATTTATACAATATTTCTGTCAAAAGACATTATCATCGATCAAATAACCATTGCCCAAGAGAACTACTTTACATAAGCCACGCATACTCTCTGCCTTACGTAATATTATATATGGTATTATATGGTTTACCATCAATATGCGTATACATACATATGATCGGTAAAGCAATAAAGGAGTAAACAATATTAGCAGATAATTAAATGCTACACAAATAAGCATATAAAATTAGATAGGTACGTTAGGCCGACATTACAGACCAGAGTTTAATTAAACAGTTATTTACAGTTAAACATTTACAAAGACAACAAGCTCCGTATTGGATGACTCTATTTAATTTCCTAAGGGTTGATCCAATGTTCGAGCTCGGGCGTCAGACGTTAGAATATAAATTGGTTAATTAATTAATAATTATCAGTCACTACTTTCAGGCATCTGTAGCATTGAGTTTTTCCGATTAATTAGAAGTCAGGTTCCTTAACAATTCTTTTATGATAAAAAAAAGGGGGGAGAGGGAGGATTCAAAAAAAGAGTTTATACTTATCAAAATATTAATCAATACAGTATTTTTGAAAATTCCAATTAATAGCCCCAAATCTAGTCGCAAGCTTTTAAAAATCCCTCCAAATTTCACCAATTTTACCCATATACAATACTATACCAAGTCAAAAAAAATATGCTAAAATTGGCTCACTAAAAATAAAAAAATTATATATATATATAAATATATATAAGTTAAAAGTTTTTTTTTCATCTTCCAAAAACTACCCTAACGAAATCTAAATATATTTACTTATTTCATCTCTGCTTATTTTTCCAATTAGATTAATACAATTTTTTAATTAAAATTACCAACAGAAATATACTCTTCAAGACCCCCTGTCTAAATAATTAAGTCTCGTAAAATTGTTTGTGTATTTGTATCTGTATGGACTTTATGTATGTGACACTGAAATGATACATTGATGATAGGTATATGTCGGAAGATGGGATCGACCTATTAAGGTCCCACTTTATATCAATGATTATGTACATTTTTTTACTAAACTCGTTATATTACTGTAAGAGGAAAATATCTTTTATTTTTATTGAAATAGTCATTCAGTGAACGGCGAATTTTCAAAACTTCTTCCTTTAAAGGACCTTCGATTTCGCACTTTAAAAATATTCAAAGGCCTCACAATTTTAGTTGTAATAAAAAATAAATAAATATTAACTACGCAAGAATTTTCTTATTAATTATAGAAGAAAATGGAAAAAAATATTTTCGCCGGTTGGAAAAATTATTCCGAAAACAACAGTAGTAATGAGAGACATATCAAGCCGATAAAAAAGGAAAATTTAAAAATAAAATTAATATCTTACGTAATAGAAGATAATTGTAGAATGCAGAAAAATTATTGAAATTTAATTTTTATTTTAGCTAATGTCCACTTCTATATTATTCAACATAAATTAACTGGAGTTTTCATTAAAAAAATTTAAAATTTGTCAACTTGACAAACCCAAAATATTTAGTAACATAGTTGCCATACTTTATATTGAATGTCGTAAGTTTATATTTAAAACTAAAGTGTAATTGTCAAGTTTTATTATTTTTTAAAAATTTAAAAACCACTGCATTTGATTTTTAAATATTACTGTATCATCGTTTTATTTCCAAGTACAGTTTTTAATGGAGCTGAACTTTTGTGAACATTTTGATTAATTTCAACCTTATTTGTTAATTAAAAAAAGGAAGTGAAACGCACGACTTTCTGACTTTACAAAGAAAAAAAATTACTCAAAATTCTGAGTGATTTAATGTAATGAATTGTCATTTTATGAAGTTCAATAAATTGACAATATGTTCAAATTTAATATTCAACGACCGTATATTAATGATACTCGATTTAATCTTGATTTTTTTTTCTTATCCTTACGAGTATTTTACAACCTGTGGACCTCACCTACAGGTTAAATTTCTTAATAGTTATTCAATTTTGATGTATTGGAACAAATTTTTAAAAAATCTTTTATTTTAAATTTTAATCTTAAAATCTTTAAAACCATGCGTATATTGACTATTTTTATTTATAATTTTAATCCATAAAGTGACAATAAACCACAATTACTTGAAATTGATAGGTCAATTGCTTAGAAGGGCCAGACAGTGGGCTGAGGGAGGTCACCCTTAAGGGTTCGGCCGTTTGCCGTAAGGAGCGCCACCTTCCAAGCCCTTAAGGCAGCAACCCCTTGTTCTTACCGCTGTCTTAAGGAAATTTTAAGAAACTCTTAAGATTTCAGAATCTTTTCTCATTATACCCTTTTCTTTTCACAGCATTGTTAGTGCAACATTAATTAACGTTTAATAAAAATAACAAATTAAAAAAAAAATTTCTTAAACATAAAAAAAAAATATATATTAGTACATAATAAAATGGCGGTTTTTAACTTATTTCAAATTTGATCAATTACACTCTTCTTTTAAAAGAAATAATTTATCAAATCAACTATAGAAAAAAGGAAGATAAAATTGGTTTTCCTTTCTTTGAAATTCGATTTAAAATATTTTTAAGTCAATCATTAATAATTTCATTGATTGTATCAAATTAAGTTTTTGAGCAAGTTTGCATACATTTCCCACCCATTTTCAGAAGCAAAATATTTTTTTAAATCTGTTGAATTTATTTCGTGTTATAAAATGATATATACACAGAAATTCACGTATATATATATATAATTTTGTAGAGATTAAAATGTATAAATGTCACTTGGTATGAAGAATATCTTTTTTATATATTCTGACCGGCAATCCAATTTGTTTCTTGACAGGTGTGGATTAATAAAGTTAAAAAAAAAAATCCATTCATGTCAATCTAAAAATAAAATAAAATAATTAAATTTTTAATTGACAAAAAAATTTAATTACAACATCAGAAACCTGTGACAGGGTTTATAACTGATCACTCGTTCATATCAACAGAGACATTTTACCAATCATAACATAATTTTTTTTTCGAGTAAGAACGTTTGAATGAACATGATTACTTTTAGGTTTTTTTTTAATCATTTTTTAATTTAAAAGTAAATATAATTTTATTAATTTGGGAACGATTGCTTAGTCAAATATATGAGCTGTTTTTATTTTTGTTTTTTGTTGAAAGCCTAATTATTCCTATAATAATATTTTACATCATTATTGTCTCCTGCAATAAATCATTATTTTTAAAAGCTTCGTAGTTGTAAAATATTATATATCATTCGTTAAAAAATACAACGTCCATAAATTATCTAAAGAATGTAGTAGGCATTTTTTATGGATTTACTTAATATAACCTTAAAAATATAAATATAAATAGTTTTCATTATTTTTTGAAAAATTAAATAATATCTAAATAATTATCCAGCATTAGATATATTTGTTTTACTTTTCCTTCGTCTTGTTAATAACAATATTAATGAATGGATTGACGAATTCACATATAAAAACTAGTAAGTTAATATTATAGAATTTTTTTATTCGTATATTACTTATAAAAATAAGTCTCCCTAAAAAATATACAAAATATACCTCCATTAAATTTTATTGGTTGTTTTTTTTATTTTTTGTCAGTTCTTTATATATTTTCAGATTGATCTGAGATGGTAAATTTTATTAATTTAGGAATACTGCAACAAATAGTCTTGTATTATAATTTTAATTCTGAGAATTTGGAATTGATTTTATAACTGTAATGTATAATCACCATTAATATTTTGTTTTTTATAATAATTTAAAATTAATACTTAGGTTAATTGTTTCAGATATAACACAATAATAAAATAATTATATTACATTAGACAATTTTTATTTTTAATAATTTTACGATATCATATCATGTGTATTATCTTTTATGTGTCATATATGATATTATCTATATCACGTATGCATTTAATCCTAACACAGTTGACCATTATATGCATAATTAAGAGGAAAGGAAAACTTACGAGAAAAAAACTGGACACACAGGGAAGCTATACTATTATAATAACTAGTCGATTATTTTTATTATTTTTTATTTATATATGAGTGATAAAAATAATTTTAAGTTAAAAGTATCACTCTGAGCTTAACGTTCATTATTTTAATTTACTTATTAATATTTCTAAATTGGGAAAGGATTTTCGAATGGGAAACTGACTTTTTTTTTCGTATTTCGATATTCAATTACTATAGCGGACACTATACTGGGCTGACGGAGGTAGAGGAATGGGAGGACAGTGGACTATTAGGAGATAATTTAAAAACTAAGGGTAAGGGTTAGATAGGGGATCTTAGACCGCTCCCCTCCCGCCCCCCACCACCCCCACCTAAGGCCCGCCTCCCCTCTGTATTTTTATCTAGTCTTACCTCCCACCCTCAGCTCTCTCCTCAGTCCTATCCGGCATGGCTTCGGACCTCCGCTCGGCTCGTCTCAGAGGTAATCTCATTTCTTTTTCTTCATATCATTATGTGACACATCCCTCATACGGCGGCACACGGTTAAGATAGAACAGGCCCAATCGATCAAGGAACCCTAAGGAGAGGGTTTTTCTCACGAGGAGGGGACGGTAGGGGCGGAAGACATGAAGTGGTGGGGATAAGGGATGAAATCTTAGCGGGGCGGGGGGAGGCGGGGGCGGAGGGGGCGGTGGGGAGAGACGCCGGCGCGGAAAACTGTAAGGTCTTAGAGGGGGGGGGCCTTTTTCTAAGGGGGCCGCGTCAAGACAGGGCTCAGTACCCACCGGGACCGGGGCCCAAGACCCACCCCTCCCGATCTTGGGAAAAATCGCGTCTTTTTCTCAACCCCCACCACCTACCCTTCCCCTACCAACTGACTTTTCCAAATCTATCGAGGGTGGTTTTCTCCTCCTCAGCGGTATAAGTGTGATTACTTGGCGGCTGAGGGTTTCAGTCGGTGCTTGTCCGTGCCGCCGCGAGGAACTGTTCATATAGCGTTGTGTGTTTGTGTGTTCACAGCAGTCGGAGCAGCTGACCTAGTGGGTTCGTGTTGTGTTTCTCGTCCGGCTTCACCACGATCTCGTCACCGTTGGACCTCCGTTCCTCTCCGGGGGATCAGATGTCGAGCGAGGCGGTCCTCATACAGCGGCCGGTCTTCAAGATGAACCCCGCATCCGACTTCTGGCAGCGGGGGCCGCCGCTGCCGCCCAGCCCCCGGGGCAGTCCACAACAAGTACAACAGCAGCAGGTCCAGCAGCAACAGGAACAGGACATGCAGCCACAGCCTAGCTCGTCCCCGCATGAGGTGAAGGTGAAGGTGGAATCTCCACCTTTGCCTTCACCTTCTGGTCCACAGGGGATGCAGGGCCTTCACCAACAAATGATGCAACAGCAACAAATGCAGCAGCAGCTGGACCAGCAGCAACAACAGCACCAACAGCAACAACAAATGCAACAGCAGCAACAACAACAACAACAGCAACAACAAATGCAGCAGCAGGTTCAGCAGCAGCAACAGCAACAACAACAACAGGCCCAACAACAGGCACAACAACAGAATCAGCAGCAACAGACGGGGCCGCAACAGGACATGCCTCAGGACCTGCAGGTAAACAGTGGCAGCCCGTCCTTACAGCTTCCAGACCCCAAGGCTATGACCGAGAAGCTCGTCAGTGAGTTACAGGTAAACTAATCCAAAATTATTTTTTATCATTAAATTTTGATATTTATCACTAGGGACAATTTATTGAAACATAAAACACACTAACAATACAGATTAAAACATCTATAAATGTTCTAATGCAAACAGAATATCCATCCTCCTAAAGTTAAATGAGACAAAATTATAAAAAACAAAAAAGATCTCATATTCCAGTGGTCACGGAATCATTAATTTCCCTTTTCGCTAAATTATAAATAAACCAAAATATTATGTGGTGGTTAGTAAAAATATTATTTATTTTCAACTTGATTATTTCACCAGTTACATATTTCTAACTTGGAAAAGCCGAACTGTACTCGCCCAATTAATTCCGCAAATAACTACATTAATACAATTAACAGTGCCTACACAAGTGACCGTAGCTAAATAAAAAAAAAAAAGTAAATACATGTAAGGGGTCGGGGGATAAGGCAGCGGCGGGTTTGAAGATTCCGCGCGAACAGGTGTCACTCACTCACTCCCGCATTCTTTATTTGCTTTTTTTTTTGTTTGTTTTTTTCTTTTTTCCACAACCAGTCCTCTGTTTGTGTTGTACTAAACGCGCCTTTTTTTTTTTTTTATTCCCTCTTTCAGTGAATGATGTAGTAGGGTAAAATTGTTCAATTAAGTCTTTTTATAAATTACATAGTGAACGGGTAATTATCAAAAAAATTTGATGAACAATCAATAGCAAAAACAGCTATAATATAAAATATATTGAACCGTAGGAAAATATTTAAATCTACTACTATCTTGTCCAAACAATTCGAAAAAATATTTATATTTATTTCCTGAATTTAAAGTAATTTTATTTTTAAGAATCCGTTAAATATTCCCGGTCCGATTTCTGTTAATTTCAAATAAAGTATAATTATGTGAAAATAAATTCTTTATTTGCACGCTTATATTTACTTTGAGATAGGTAAAGCTGTTAAATTAATGCGATAGGCAATTTTATCATGACATTATTAAAAAACGATATATTTTTATCATTAAATCTGTCAATACTCAAGGATGGTTAATATTACAATTTGTGACCTATGAAAACGGTACGGTACAAATTAAATATATAAATTGGTATTTGAAATATAAAATAAACGTGAAAAAATTCAAATATATGGAACGATTCTAAAACAAGTTCCCGAAATAAATTGAAATTTTTCTTTCATAAGCAAAAAAATATAACACATTAATTATTCTTTCTTCAAATATACCTCTATACATATTTATATATCATTGAGATTTTTAACCGGTTTTTAAATTAAAAATATGAAATTTTATGATATAATTTCTAAATTAATTGTATATGCAAATTTTAAGTTTTAAAAATTATTTTAATTTAATAAATTATATATTATTAAATGTACTGTAATATTATTAAATGTACACTACCGTAAGTGTAAATAATAATATGAAGTAAAATAAATACCAAAACCAGTTACTATTAATAACTTTAAAATAAAATAATCTTTAAAATTGTAAGCGGGGATGTTTTAGAGAATATCATAAGTGGGTCCTAAAAATTATCAAGATAGTAGTAAATATTTGTTTTAAATTAAAATTAAATTATTTCTTCCTTCAGTTAATTATAATATTTTAATTTATGCGTTTTGTAGTTGATGACAAAAAATGTAAATATCAGGTCATACCAGACAAAGCACTATATAAAATTAGAAAATAATTTTACTAATTCGTGAGCGTTATCAGTGAATGTTATTTTATATGATGTGAAACTAATTGACAGTAAAAAGATAGGAAATAAATCTCATAAAATTGATCATAATAATATACATTATATTGTATGAAAGTTGTTATATATAAAAATTAAAATAATAATAAATAACTGCTACCTGATAAAATAAAATAAAATTTTACTTAGGCTTCTGTTATTTCAAATAATTTATTTTCTTTGAATTTTGAATATTTATCATTTTTTTCATATCCGTGTGGATATAATAATAGTTTCTGTGCTGGTTAAAGTTTTCATAAGTAAATTTCAAAATTTTATATTTATTTTTTTTAATTGCTTACAACGCGTTAATAAATATTGACTCTTGTCTTAAATTATTGTGATCGGGATAAGTGGTTTTTTTTTTATTATAAAAATTAATTTTATTTATTTATGTTAATAATCCATGTTATCCCCCGCCCCATGTAAGATATACTAGAAAGTGAGAGTCCTCACACAGATGACTTTGAAATATGAAGAGCGGGGTGGCAAGGGGGAGGAGTGGGGTGAACCTCCCCTCCAATGCGCGCGCGCTATCCCCCACCATCCCCACCACATGTCCTGCCACCCCCTCAGGGGGGGTGTCCTTCTCTGACCACGTGTCTCCAAAACCTCCCGCAAGGTTACGAGACCAACAAACACAAATACCAATCACACACAAAAAATTAACAAAATAATATCTTGTAGAAAATATTTTCTTTATTGACACGATTCCAGGTTGAAGGATATGTGACTTGCTGCTTATTGTTTTCTGCGAAGAGTAATATTACTTTAGCCTCTAAAAGTAATAACTGTTAGCTTTTAAGGTAGCTTTAAGTAAGGCTTTTATTAACATAGTGAATGCGCCAGGTTTTGGTTAATTTGCTAACTAATGGTGGTTGGGTTTAAGCCTGGAAGGGTTGCAAGGGGTGCTGGTTCCTTGCGATACCGCTAGAGGCCACCCCTATCCCAATTCTTAACCCTTCCTTGTCCTAAATAATTTCAAACCAAAAAAATACATTGATATATTGTCAATATTTTTTCTCTCTCTCTTTTTTCTTTTAAATATCTACAGATTTTTTTTCATTTTTGAAAGAGAAAATAATGTAAGTACTAACTTTATCTCTTTCCTTCTTCTTTGCCCTCTTCTACTTGCTGGGACGTGCAGAATCGGTCCGGCGTGATTTCGGATCGGACGTTGGAAGAATGCTGGAACACTCTTCAAAGAGTGAGTTACCAATAGTACTCCCCAATTTTTTTTTTCTAAAATTAAAAAGAACAAGTAAAAAAATAGTTGCATGTTGGTTTAACCCTAAGCATGTCTATACTAATTGCATGTTGTTATTTTAGTATTTTAAACAACACAATATTCCTACTAACACGATTACATTTTAAATGTGAGATATGTCATGGACATAATATTTCATAATCAGCAAAATAAATAATTTTACTTACTTTTAATAATTTTATTATAATTGTATTAATAATTGTACGTCATAACGGAGTGAGACTGAAAATTTCTTGTATAATTAGACTTCACTCCAAAAATAACTATATTAATTTTACTAAAGAAATATATATATATGATTAGAAATGTTTATTCACTTGAATATATTACAACAAGAGAAATTCATACTTGAACGTTTACAAGTTTACAATAATTATAGTATTAAAAAAAAATGTATATATATATATATATATATATATATATATATATTATCTTCTGAAAGCTGCATGAAACACTTCGCATGTTTCTTTTTTTATAGTTCAAATTAAAAAAAAAAAAAATGTTTAAGTCTTATATTCACTTACACTATTAATTTCTGGATCCTAAAACAATGTAAAAAAAAATACAAATTAGTATCACTATTAATTGCATTAATATCATTGAATGGTTATTTAGGCATTATTGTTACTATGAAAGAATTATTCCTTATATTAGTAATAAATATCTCAATCTTATATATTTTTTATAAACTTAATGATATACGACGAGAAATTTCCACTAAAAATTAGACGCACTGCATGGTTTGAATTTTATTGCAGGGATGACGCTTGCGGTGAAAGGAATGAATGATATTTATTTTCAGGAAGAACATATCACATAATTCTCACTCGCCATCAAGAATATTAATTATTTATATTTTAATTCATACACGGGTAAGCGTGATGGATGTTTGCCTAAATCATTTATATTTATTACTACAGTTTTAAAGTTTATATTACATCCGGACAGAATTATATGATAGTCAAAACTTACAAGTTATATACGATTGGTTAAAAATAATTTATAGGTGGTATTTTCTAATTATCTTTTGCTTTAGAGGTAAAATATACAGTTGGTAAAAAAATTTGGCAATTAAAGAAAATTCAGTATTTTCAAATGTTAAAAGGCCATAGGAGTTAAAGGGTTTTAAAATGTCCAGAAGTGTAAAAATTAAATAAAAAAAATAGGTTAGTATTTTTGTGAAATAAATGCATATTTGAATGATATATCTCAGCATGATTTTCAAAATCCATAACTCTTTTTTATCCAAAATATTATTAAACCGATAAATATCAAGCGAAGTCAATGATATTTTTTAATTTAATAACTCGTTATTAATTATATTATTCTAATTTTGGAAAACACTTATTACAGTATTATTTTTACTACGAGGTTTTCATCATAAAATTAACCTTGTTAATTTATCGTTTTATAATCAGGCAGCCTAGCCACTAGGAGCAGCAAAATTCGAGTGATTTTGTAATTATTTAATATAATTTAAACAATTTTGTAATTATAACTAATTAAACACACAAAAATATAATTTCTATATCCATTTTACCGTACAACAATCTGCTCTTTAGGATTAACATTTACTTAATTATAAAGAAAAAAAAGTAATAATTATCAATTTCAAAATAAATAAAAAGCCTAATTTTTGTATTTGTATAATACCAGAGTCTATTGTTGCGGCTGCGTTTGCTACATAACTTGAGAAATTCGATAATTTTTACTGATAATTTGTGTATTTTATTTTTGGTTTTCAATCTCTAATATTCCAGAAATGTATTGTATAAGGAAATAACTTTATATTAATTTTATATAATACATTTATATTTCGATTCGTGTCCTCAAAATTAATAGTAGGGATTCATATATATATATATATATATATATATATATATATATATATATATATATATATATATATAGTTTTATATCGATTTTAATTATTATTTTTAAAAACCAATTATTCAATGCATAAATTATTACTAAAATTAATGAAAATAACATAGATTTCGTTACCGTTATTGCATTCTTATCAATTACTCCTATTTTTGCGGTAGCAGATCCAGGATTAAATTTTTTGGTGAGGAGGGGGCTTCAGTCCGAAAGGTTTTTTTTCTTTTTTATACATATAACGATAATTACTTTGAAGGAAAAGGAAAGAAACTAACTACCTATTTGAAATGGTCTATAGGAGATTCTTAAGTCCTATTGAAATGTAACTACACGGACAATAATACATTTAGAGATAGTTTTTCGCCATTTTTTTTTCATTTGGCACAGTTATATTATTCCATTTTGGAGGGGAGATTCAGCCCGAACCCTTCCCCCCTTCTGCAATCTAATGAAACCCCAACATTGTTCCAATAATAATGTAAAATTAGGATAAGTATTATTGAGTATACTATTATTGAGTAACATTATTATTGAGTATACTAACAAAAATCTCTAAACACGGTTAAAAATATTTTAATTTTTTTTTCTATCAGATCGAGGATTAATTCTGCAAAAAAAAAAAAAAAAAAGCGTGTAAATAGGTCAAATAGCTTTTGCAAGTCAGCCGCTAAAAACGAAAAACGGACTGCTTTTTTATACAGTTCAAATAACATTTAGAAAATGCATTTTATTATAAGAGAGATAATATTTATCGTAAATAAAAAGTTTTTTTTTATTAGGTTTGCTAGTAGAAAATCCACCATAAACATAAAGATAACTGTATCGTTGTAAATATTATGTGTTTGTAATTAGTTATACCTTATTTAACAGTATGAATTCTCATTCTAACATATTTCGATGACGGTAGGAACATTTTCTTGTGCTACAATATACATTAACGATTTTATCACTATAAATAATGTCAATGCATGAGAATTCAAATCACCACAGATGCAGATAAACCTGTTTTACCGAGCCAGTCCGAATATTAACGATGCCCCCGAGGTACTAAGATCCTATATCATTGTACTCTGATGGCTTATAATAATTGAGCTTTTGAATATAAATTTAATTCTATTTTTATTTTCAGTTATGACGGAAGATATACATGTACAAAAAAAAAATAAGTAGAAAATAAATGTAATTTTTTTTTCCAAGTACAGATGTAGGTACACATCAAAATACCGAAGAAAGTGATTTTATGAATCGCATTTGAAGATATTCATATCGGACATTTTTTGTGTATTACTCAAAATAATAAAGTTATAGATAATTATTTTTTAATAAATATAATAAAAGAGGTTTTAATAAGCAAAAAAATTTATCGGATCTTCAAAATAAAAAACTAAAAAAAATTAATTTTCCAACATTCAATCGTTTCGTGCAAGATAGACACAATTGTTATATAAAGGAAATTTCTATATTATTTATATATAGGGGCACTGTTAGGACAAAATATAATATTGTAAAAATTGAATTTTTTTTTCTAATGGGCATAAAAAACCTATTATTTCTTTATAATTTATTAGTATATCATATTCTATTTCTCTCGCCTATTTTCATATTTAGCAGACTACTTATAATAGTTGCTGACTACAAAATGTCACCTTTAGCACAAAGAGAATTGTTACATGTAAAATTGTTACGTAGGACCTTTAGCACAAACAGTAGCGATATGTTACAGTATAATGTTATAGTCGAGGTAATTTTTTTAAAGTGCTAGCGTACATATCGAAATAAGACAAAAATAAATTAATTAGTTTTATGAATGTTAAAATTATCATAACGGACTTTTTTTTTAATCAAAAGAATATGGGTTGTTTAATTTTTTAAAGATTTTATCTCAATTTTTTTAAAATAAATATAATAAAAGTCTTATATTTTTAATAAGTTCACGTATATTCAAACTTTGATATTTATCTATTGAAAAAAATAAAAAATAAAAGTTAGATTCATTATCAAATATTGGACCACACCATGCAAAACTTCTTTAATTTAAATATAAACGAAATTTACAAAATATTTGTATATATATAAATTGCTAGATTTTTTTTTTTTTTTTATTCCCAGAATTGAGTTCAGTAATATTGGAATAAGAGCTGTAGTACTCTTATTAGGTTTCCTTCCATCTTAGATATTACGCAGCAAATAATACTAATGTAAACTCCAGGGTTAAATTATAAAAATGTAGAATGCGTTAGTCGAGTTCGCTGAGCAAGCAGCTGGTGTTGCGGATTGTCTGAGCAGTGCGTCGCAAGGTTCCGGCGTTGACAACGTGCGGTGAGTAGAGCTGTTGATTAAAAAAAAATATTAGGATAATAATTATTTATTTTCAATATAGAGAATAAATTAATTAATAGTTATTCAACAATCCGGTAATTATTGATTTATTTTTTTTAAATCGTTGTTTGCTTCATTCCCAGACGCGTTGTCAGCATTAATATGCCTGACCTAAGTCTAACTATAACCGGTAGACGGAACTGACCGTGACATTCGTATATTTAACCGGTCCATTTCAATAATATAATTTAATTATAAATATTTGTATATATGTGTTTAATTAATATTTATTCAAATAAATTACTTAATACTTAAAAAAATGTTCAATACGATTATTTAATTTTCATAAAAAATAAATAGCAAGCGGATATACCTTGAAAAATTAATTTAAAAATATTATTACTATCAATTTTGACCACTATCGAATTAGTGCAACAAAATTATTCAACCAAAATCAAATATTTGCTAATTAAGTTTCCAAAAGTAGCAGATATAAATTAGACTAATCTCTAAATAAAAATTTACAAATTAATAAAAAATACATCATATTATAAATAGACTAATGATTTCAAATCCAGGTCAGTTAAATATAAATTTAAAAAATGCATTGTAATTATTATATTAAATAAAGGTTGAACTAATATCCAAGTATATATTAATTTTTTTATTCAACCAACGATAAGTTCCTTTAAACTTCTTGCAAAGGGTTGCAATATAATAACTATTATTATTTAATATTTTTCACGGTAACTATTCGATTTGAAAAAATTGTTAT